CCCTCAAAAAAAGGTTAAACTAAAGAAATTGTACAGCTGAAGGAGCCACTCCAAGAGCATTCCCCAGCCAGCATGTGTGGACTTCAACTCCCAGAATTCCCCAGCCAGCATGTTGAAGTCCACACATGCTGGCTGGGGAATTCTGGGAGCTGAAGTCCACACAACGTAAAGTTGCCAAGGCTGAAAAACACGGCTATAATCCCACACAGCATAGCGGAACAGCCACTCACTGTTGCTGAAAAGGCTCCATGTCCTGTGACGGAGCAGGCAGAGTTAGAACTACCCGCAGCCCCGCCGACACCCCTTCCACCAGGCTGTGCTGCTGCTAAATGCTGGGGAACAGAGGGAATCGGTGTGGGTGTGAGTGTGAGTGTGTGCAAAGGAGCTGCATGAAGCACCACAAGGCTTGACATCCTGAGGACTTCGCTTGCACTTCTGGCCCCCGAAAGAGCCAAAGCTGGAGCGCCGGGCTGGGACCCTGCCAATGCAGCTGCTCTCTGGGGAAAACGCTTGCCCGATGTGCCCACACACAATCGGTGCCTGCTGTAACAGCATTTATGATGGCTCAGATGGGCCTGGTTCCACCGAGTTGGACTTGGCAGGGGGAGGGCTTCCCTGCTGTTGGCCCCCATTCCAGCCCCTGCTCCACCACCTTGCAAGGTTGCGTGGAGGGAAGCCTGGACGGGAGAGAACAGGCTGAAGCTGAACCTTAGGAACCCCAAGCTGCTGTGCACACCTCGGGGCTCCCTCCCTGTCCCGCCAGAGTTGCCCCTTGACGAGCAAGCAGGAGCAAGACTGCACGCGGATCCTTCTGGACTCACAGCTCCTGCTGAAGCAGCAGGTAGAAGCCTCGGCCGGAGGGACCCGCACCCAGCTTCGGCTAGTGGTGCAGCTGTGACCGTACCTGGAGTAGGAGGGCTTACCAGACCCAGCTGGGCCACTGTAACACGCTGTGCTGGGGCTACCCTTAAAGTCTACTTGGAAAGTACAACTGGCCCCAAACGCTGCGGCTGTGTACTTTTTGTCATTGGGAACATATAACATTCCCAATGGTTTGCTCCCAACTGGTTCCCAGGTATGGTTTCAGCTGCTGGTTTTAACCTACAAAGCCCTTCATGGCTTGGCGCTTGGATATCTGCAGGACCACCTGCTCCAGAGCAGTGCCGGCCCGGCCAATTTGACCAGACTGATGGAAACTGCGACTGGTCCCCCATTTTCGGGAGGTCCAGGGAGTTGAAGCGAGGAGCCGCTGCTCTTCCGTGGCTGCGCTGTGGGGCAGCCTCCTGGCTGAGATCAGGCCAGCCCTTCCTCGCTACCGTTTGCAAGCCTTTAAGGACAGAGTTCTTCCGGAGGGTCTCCTGATTCTATCAGACATCTTTGTTTACCATTTATATTGCTCGTGGTTTAGGTGTTGTTGCTTTACTGTTTCACAGTTGTATAACCGTGAATAGTTTATTCAGTTTCGTATTTTATGTAAGCTTCTAAGAGAATCTGGATTTAGATGCCATTGAAAATCAGTGCTTTCCCCAATTCTTAAAAAAATGTATGCTAGGAAAAGCCTGTTCTAGAATGTACATATTTCTGAAAATATTGTACAAAACATATTAGGGAAAATAATTGACAAGAACTATGAACTATAGAAATAGGCAAATTCCCAAGAAAAACGTATATATATTTGGAGAAATATGGCACAAAGATTTACAAACATTAGGACAAATTTGAAAAACAAACGACCAGAATTTCATGCACCGATTTAGAAGAGGAGAGACCAAGAGAAGCTGAAACGTCACATTCACCCAGCTGAGCAGTAGCTACTGTGATGCATTAAAGAGATGCCACATCACTGGAGCGCAGATCACAGACTCAGGAATGTCCTCATGGAATTGTGCTAGCTGGCTGTGCAACCTGGATGGCATAGTGAGATTCTGGACAAACTAGCAAGTGGGCAGAACCTGTGGGCCCAAGGGTGAAGGATCCAGGTCCCTAAGAACCCGTTTCAAATGGGAGGTTATACCCCAGAAGGACAGCCAAGAGCATATGGGCAGGACACCGTAAATCACAGCAGCCAGGAGGAATCATCCAGATGCCTGAAAGCAGCCTTCCCTAATCTGGAACCCTGAGACGTGATGGGTCTGCAACTATTGTCTATGCAATTTGATCTGCAAGCCATGCCTTGGTCCTGTGGCCATCAAGTGATGACTATCCAGAATTAGCCACCTAGCAGGAATATGGGGATGATGAAGGAAAACTAAGAACAGCTAAAAGAAGCATCTTGTTTCCCCCTGCTTGGACTCTGGGCCCGAAACCTTTACAGCAAGGAGTGTAATGGTGTTTCTTACCTTCCAAGTGTTCACGTAATCCACATCTGAGAAGAGAACCTTCCCCTCTTTCTGGGGCAAGAGATTCCCCTTGATGTTCTACAGGAGACAGGATATGTGACAGGATGTAGAAAGTGGTCCCTCCCTGTGGAAAGAGGTGGCATGTCCAGGAACTTGGTCCTGAGTAATTCTCAATCTTGAGCATTCAGCCTGATTTTCTAGAGACGAGCTAAAAGAAGTAGTGACTGCCCCAGCATGGTTGAACATTCTCCTGACTAATTCCTTCCATACAGTTGTATGTACAGGAAGTCTCCACATTTTCCTAACAGGTAACACTGATTCTGAGCCAGACCTTCCTGCGTTCCCCCAAGATGACACTGCCAAACCCTCCCTTGGGCAAAGGGAGCCCTCACAGGCTGCATCCCGTGCCCTCCGAGCTTGGCTTTCACCTGGATGCCCATTCGGAGAGTGCATGAGGTACAGATCCAGATAGGCAAGCTCTAGAGCCTCAGGGCTTCCAAGAAAGCAGGCTTCACATCTTGAGGGCACAGAAGCTATTCCACAGCTGCCAAAGAAAGAGAATTGGTCAGCCTTAGAAGAGCCCACCAAGGGCTGCCATCCTGTTTCTCAGCTAGATGCTTCCGGAAGGCCTCAAGCCAAGAGGCCTCTCCCACTGCTGCTCCTCAGGTTGCTGGCCTTGACTCGAGGCTACAGAAAGGCTTCGTGGATTTTTCTAACCCCCTTTTAAAGCCATCTGAGCTGATGGATGCCACCAGTACATCTTATGACAGTGAATGCCAGAAGTTTAAGTATAGTGTCAGAGTCTGCAAGGCTCAATTCCCAATCCCAGTAAATCCTCTGGAGACCGATTCATTCCAGTAAAGGTTTCTTTATTGAGAAGAACCATACAGTGGTCCACAGATTGCTGAAACTGAAAACCCCGCGCTCGGAGGCTCCCTTTTAACCCCCCTCTCTGCTTTCAAGTTTCAGTCCTTTTCGCGCCTTTCCTCGGATCTCTTCTTGGTCTCACCCTGCATGGCCTTGTAAATTCCCCAGAACCTGAGAACATCCCATCTGTCTCCGCTGTCTACCTAACTCTCCCCGCCCCCTCCTCTCCGCCTTGTTTTATGGCAGGAATGAGCAAGCAGCTTGTATAAACTAACAGTCCTAATAAAAGAACACTTCTACTTTACGGCCGGAATAAGCAAACATTCTAACTAGGTTAACAGCTCTAATAACTCTACTAGTTGGCTCCAACTGACAATTGGTTGATTGTGAGGATCCTGACATAGAGTCTCAAGAAGGACATAACGTGTGTCTGTCCCAAATGACTTGCCAATGGATTAATCTGAATTCTAGTGTTATGTGGGAAGGGAATTGAATTTTACTGTAGATCGCTTACATGGCACATGTAGTGGGGTGAATGGACTGAATCCATTATGTGCCAGAAAATATTTCCCTCAATAATTTTTTTATATGCTAGTTAGGGTTAGGGTTAAGGTGACTGCACTCAGTGCATCTCTGCTTGTTCAGATTTGTTACAGAAGAGTGAAATTTCCTGCCCACCCAGCTGGACTTTGTTAATGTCAAGCTTGGCCCAAGTGAGAGGACTGTTTATAAGTCTGGTGATCAGTCCAAAGATTTCTTAACTGTGACTGCAATTTCATTTGGAACCAAGTCATATGGCAGCCATCTCAAAAAACTGAATTATGCCACAGGGCAGTTTTTTGGGAAATGGGACAGTTTGGGGCACCATTATTTAAAAGGTTGCTGCTTGTTCTCAGATTTTCTAAAGTCACAAAGAATATGACTGGAAATTCAAATGTTTTTGAATCAAATGAAAGCTGCTTTCAGGATCTATGCTATTCTGAGGGCGCCTTAGAAGGCAACATGAATATGATACCAGCCATGCTGGACTCTAGAAAACACAGAGGCAAACTGCAGTACTTAGTGCAATGGAAACACCTCCCCAAAACACACCACGAATGGGTAGACAGCCACCACGTCAAGCCCCCAAACTCATTAAGGATTTTTACAGTAAATATCCACAAAAACCTAGATAAACAATAACAATCTACATTGTATATATTAATTATTTCTTCCACAGTATATCGTACACATGCATTCTTTGTATTGTTGGGTTTTAGTGTTGCATTCAGTATATGGCATGTATGCATTCTTTCTTCCAGATTTTATTTCTAATGTGATGACATTCGTCTTGTTGGAGGGCAGCACGTCAGGATGTACGCAAGCAACTATTGAAAGGCTATTAGAAAGTCATTAGAAATTTACAATGTAGACAAATGTAGTAGGTTCAAATGTTAGTTTAGACAAGAACCATAACTTGTATCTCTGCTTGCTTGTTCCTGCCATAAAAGTCAAGAGGGAGGGTGGGCAATAAACAGCAGAGGCCTGGTGCACCGTTATCTCGCCGAGAGGCGCCAGGAAGGCCTGACGGCCGTGAGACCCAGGAAGAGGCGCGAAGAATTCAAGCAGGAAAAGTAGAATAGAGGGGTGTTAAAAGGAGAGCTCCGGCCAGGGAGGGTCAGTCTCAGCAATCTATGGAATGCCTTATGCTGCTTCTCAATAAAGAAGTCTTTACTGGAAACAAAATAGGCTCCAGAGGATTTACTGGACTTGGGAACTGAGTGTGCAGACTCTGACATCTGCACTGATGAGGGCTGTCTCATCTTTGGTTCTTTTCAGCTTTTTAGGACATTCTAGTAACATGGTATAGTAACAGTATGGAGAATAACAATCTAATTTGATGCATTTATATGTAATTCAATTAATCTTATGTCAAAGTAAGTGAGCAAAGTCTTTACAACTCATGCACTAAACCTTCCTTCCTTCCTTCCTTCCTTCCTTCTGCTCCCTCTTGCTTTCTGTCCCTTTTCTTTCCCGGGGCAACTAACTCTTCCATTCACTTCCTCCCTCCTGCCTCTCGTTCTCCTTTTTCAGTTTCTGCTGGGAAGGGATGTGGGTCATTTGTACCTTTCTGCATGAAGCATGTGCAGCAGGTGAGAGATTGGTTGGCATGTGCAGGCGGGGAATCGATTTTATAATGAGAGCATCTTTTTTTATGAGCCATTCAGTTAACATTACCCATCTTCATTCTGCCTCTGCCCCTTTTTGGAGTGTGGCTTCTGGCATTGATGCACTCTTGTGTGACACACACACACAATTCTTGGTGAAGGGAAAACTTCCAGAGTACATGAGAAGGACAACCAGGGGGAACTGGGCATAGTACAGCATTCTTCCTGCGTGTGTGTGCGTGCGCGCGTGCATGCGTGAAAGTTCGAGTGGAATCACCTCCTCTGCATGGATGACATCAAGCTGTATGCCAAGAGTGAATGAGACATCGACTCACTGATCCACCTGACACGGATCTACAGTGAGGGCATTGGGATGTCATTCGGACTGGAGAAGTGTGGCTGGATGGTAGTAAAGAGAGGGAAGGTGGTAAGACTGATGGGGTGGAACTACCAGTGGGCAACACAGACCAGCTACAAATACCTTGGTATCCCCAGTCACATGGGAACCACAAAGAGGAGGCAAGGAAGACAGCACTTCCAAGTACCAGCAAAGGATAAGACAGGTCCTGAAGAGCCAGCTCAATGGGAAGAACAAGATCCATGCCATCAACACGTACATCCTGCCATCAGAATCCCTGGGACCCAAGGTGCAGGTTGTGCAGAGAGGCCTCAGAGACAGCCCAACACATAGTGGCAGGG